TAACGTAAATAAAGGATGTCATCAATTACTCTCCCTACGATTCTCAGGCTCAGGAAGAAGTTGTGGGACGAGAGTTCTATGAAGAGATTTTTCGTTGTGTTTACAGTGAAAGAAGAATACTACTACAAGAAACATGTCATTTTTTATACCGTTTCCAATAGATTTCTGTTTTTTTTTAAAGTTTGTCAGTAATTTCTAGCGAATTTCCTACCAACCTTTTTTTAAAATGGTTTTTTATTTTCCCACAAATTTAAACGATGATTGAGCATAGATCACTTTCTAAGATGACAATTTTTGTAAGTACCTGCTAATTTCCTCTAGGATTAAACGAAACCGAGGATAATGCTGTGGCTTCTATAAACTATTTTACTCATAAATTGAGAATAGTTGTCTACTATTCTATCTACTTAATTAATTGAATTTCACATGATGCAGAAATTCCATTGATTCCTTATTTTCTCAAGCTTCCACATATGGATTCTCGATCTGCTACCCATTAGCGGATTCACTTAAAATTTGCTCATCAAAGTTAAATGTTTTCAAAAGCTTTATCACAGCGATATGTTTCTCCTCTTATTTTGTGTCATAGAAAGCCACTTTAACTCTTGTGACATGCCAATAAAAATGTCATTAATAACACCCCTTACAGTTTTTACGCTTATAGGAACAAGCTTTGTGATGAGAGGTCTATCAAGAGATTTCTAGTTGTGTTTACAGTGAAATAAGAATACCAATACAAGAAAACATGTCAATTTCCTATGCAAACTCATTCTATCAAAACATTTGTGACTGTTTTCCGATGATTTTTTGTTGTTTTTTTATTTAGTAGAATTTATCATTTTCAAAATATTCTAATGTGGATTTGGCTGGAGGAAAAATCACCAAATATTGATATGCTGCAAAACGACAAGTACTATACAAAAAACATGAATCAAGAAGACTACATATCATACAAAGAAAAATCTGTAAGTCAAGATGGGCCAACCGAGATGGGTCTCGTGCAATCATCTATAATAAGCCCAGCTGAGAAGCCCACTTCCCCGCCTCAGAACAGGACAAACTCTGTACCTGCAAAAGCAAGAGACGTTGGAGCGAAGAAGGAGATGCTCCAGCTGCGAAACCGCTTTGATGCTCTCTTGACCGATTGACCAGACAACTGTGCTTATCCCTTTAGTTTCTAGATTGTTCTCTTATCTCTATATAATCTAATTGTAATCACAATGAACAAATCAAGCAAAACAGAGCAATAAAATAAAAGTTTCAAAATTTCCTTAAGTTTCACA